TTTTTATTGTTATTATTATTGTAGTTGAACTCGTTCAAGAAGAGTAATTAATGATGATGATGATAATAATAATAATAATAATAATAATAATAATAAATCTTAGCTCAAACGTTTGAACAGTAGTGTATCTCTTTAAAAAAATGTGTGGATGGATTTGTCATTAGGATTATATGATATTTATATTTATATACAGTGGGTACGGAAAGTATTCAGACCCCCTTAAATTTTTCACTCTTTGATCAGGATATCTTTTCACTATCTGATCTGTGTGGCTACTTGTGTATCACTGAAGGGGGAAAAATACTTCTGACCTTTATTTAACCTGTTAGGATTTGTATTGTGCCTCACTGTTGTTGCAGGGTGAAATTCTTGTACACGTTGTTTTGGCGGGTGAGTCCGACTGTTGGCTGAGCTGCTTATCAGATGCCTAACCAATCTGTCCTGCTCTATGACATTTTTACCTCTTCTTTTCTGAGGAATTCTCCACATTCTCTTTTTAGTGCGTCCCAAAAGAGCGACCCGCTCACTTCACACTCATGTTACCCTCGTTATCTCTGGTGCCCCTGTTATCTTGGCATCGGCACCCTGCCCAGACCTGCAGTTTATTTGAGGAACACACAAACGCTTACACGAGCACAGCATTATTTAGAATTATGGAGGAAATAGGAATTAAGTTGCTCAGATACTCGTGTGTAATGGAGTTGTTTGGGTTGATACTCTTTTAAGTCAATGAAGTGAAATATTCAGGTATTTTAGAATTTAGATGTTTAAACTGGGTTAAGCCCATGAATAGAAAGGAGCTCACATAATTCCCTACACCATCTAAATTTGTTATATTTAAAAATTATATAAAATGTTCAGGTAATTAAGCTATTATCAGTATTATTACACCATATATATACAGTATCTCACAGAAGTGAGTACACCCCTCACATTTTTGTAAATATTTTATTATATCTTTTCATGTGACAACACTGAAGAAATTACACTTTGCTACAATGTAAAGTAGTGAGTGTACAGCTTGTATAACAATCTTCAAGAATTGTCTAAAAACGCATCTCTCCCATATTTATTTGACACTCTAACTCTAGCACTCTCTATTCTAATTCTGTTCTTTAAAAAAAA